TGCTCGTGTAATTCTATAAAGATATCGTATTGCTTATGACCGGTTCTCTTTTGTCTTGCGTAGCTTAGCGTGTAAGGGAGTTGTACGCCATTTTTTTTTTATTTCGCTTATTTACACTATATCATTCTATCAAAGCATTTTAAAGATGGAATGTTATAGAAAAACCACGAAGTGTTCATATTTGCTCAAAGGGATAAGCATAGAGAGAGAAAAGAGAGAAAGAGGGCGACCTTGTCAACGAGAGTTGAAACAAGGCCCACAGAGATGCAAAACGAATATATCACAACACTTAACGAAGGCAACGTCATGGTGCAAGGTAAAGAGATGGGGTATAGCGCATGCGTTTCGTGTTAAGAAATCTTTTTTTAGACCTGGTAAGAATTAGTTATGTGGACTTTGATTTAGAGATTGTTTTCGTTTCAGATAATTCGCCTTAAAACATCTCATCACGACCAATACAATATTGAACAATATTTGGTTGTTCACAACAAACGCCGTTGTGTTGATGAAACAAATATCATCTTCTACATGGTCGACTTTTCTGTAAATAGATACATAAAAAGGGACAAAACATGACCGGATGAGGTGGAGTCCATGATTTTTTTTTCCCAGTAGAGATTGACTTGAGAGTAAATGGTGGTGATCGGTAAGCTTTTAGTTGCGAGATTTGCTGGTTTGCCATTAACAGGTGAAATGTTGAAGTGAAAATGGGGTGAGAACTGAGACACTCATCTATACCCGACCCCCACCCCAAACCCTCTCTGAATCCGCTTCTACAGATGACGTAGACGTAACTATATAGCATTGATTTTCAACTTCTAGATTTACACAAATGTATACATATGAATTATTTATAGAAAATCAATTTTAAATCCAGAAACTAAATTCATGTTAATGTGTTTTGATTGATCGATATTGATACGTAGTCTAAACTAGCAAGAGATAAATTTTCTGTGTACCAATTATGCTGGACAGCTGCATTACGTCTTCCGTACTTCATCCATTTCCTCTATTTTCTGTTTACGTTAGATGATTTTCAAGCATCGTCAAATATGATACACTTTCTAGAGAAAATAAATCAAGATATTCACACTGTTAGGGTCGTCAGTTCCTGACTCATTGCAAAATTACTTCTAATTACAAAGTAAACGAGTATAAACAGTTGACGAACACCGGATAAAAGAAAACAGCTATGTAACAAAATTTACATTCAAAACACCCTTGATGTGGCGAATTTTTGGTCGTAAACAGTCTACACAATATTCAGCCTTAAACTAATAAATGGAAAAATGGAAACCAGTCTAAAATTTTATAAATACAAAATGCTGTATATATGGATTTGGAGGGTTGAAATTAGTTAATATTACAAAGTAATATATTAGTAAAAGACTCTTTTGAGGGTTTATCCTATTTGCATCTCTAAAACCAACAAGATGGCAATGTTAAATTGATATCAGTTCAAGACTTTAAAAAATAGTACAAGCAGCTGCCACGTTTGGTGCTCAGCATTAAGAAGATAGTGTTAGGACTGCTCGGTCTGGTGTCAAGATAATGTGACTTGGTTTGCACATGACATGATGCTACATGTCTGCGACAAGATGTCCCAGTGCCAGACATCACTATAAACTGTCACATGGTAAACATCATAGCGATATGACTGAAAACTTTTAAAGCTAAGTTAAATCACACACACACACACACACACACACACACACACACACACACACACACACACATATTATCATCTGATTCTCCATGTCTGGAATTGTTAACACATGTTTCAAACACTAGTCCGTGGCTCCTATCGTTTTCTCAGCAGAGATAGATCCATCAAGGATGGGTCGATACTGAGAAATATAGGGTTGGTCAGGAGCATTTTGAAATTTCAAGTTAATGAGTTTTTAATATCATGCTGTTTCCACAGGTTTACTGTTGTGGTTGAATTAGTACAATGAGTCATGGCCAGCGCACAAGAACCAAAACAAAAGATATTGTTATTGCCAATCTTTGCAACATTGTCGCGATTATGGTAATTTTATTATGAGTATTTAAAGTGCATCACATGAATGGTAATAATGTCAATACATTTATGAATATTCGTATGTCAATGTAGAGCTTCTGTCAGGAAGGTAGGCAGTTATGCTAAAGGAGGCAGGAGCCGCGGTGGCACAGTGGTTAATGTACCTGACTAGAGTCTGAAAGAATGCAGGCTCGAATCCTACCATAAAACATGCCCCGGTCGCCTATCGCGATGTTTATCCTTGTATCCTTATTCAAGACGTTTTATTTCAACTACTTGGGAACTCATAACCTGCTGGTATCGCTGCGCCTAATACAATATACAAAGGCTAAATACTTTATCTCTCTGTCTCTGTCTCTGTCTCTTTCTCTCTCTGTCTCCCTGTCTGTCTGTCTGTCTGTCTCTCTGTATATGTAAATACACACACACATACATAAATATATATATATATATATATATATATATATATATATATATATA